ACTAATTTCGGTCCGAAAATAACATCCTCTCCATGTCCTCCTTAGCAATGGTACGAGCATGATCTCGCTGATTATCCCGCCCAAGCAGCAGATCCCACTCGTAGCGAAGATGCTTGCGGATGAAATGGGTACAGCCTCCAACATCAAGTCCCGTGTGAACCGCCTGTCGGTGCTGGGAGCCATCACGTCGACGCAGCAGCGTCTGAAGCTGTACAACAAGTGTCCTCCCAACGGCCTCATCATCTACTGCGGCACTATCATCACGGACGAGGGCAAGGAGAAGCGCGTGAACATTGACTTTGAGCCTTTCCGCCCCATCAACACGTCGCTCTACATGTGCGACAACAAGTTCCACACGGAAGCTCTGGGCGAGCTGCTGCAGGACCAGGACCGCTTCGGATTCATCATCATGGACGGTAATGGTGCGCTGTACGGCGCTGTGTCCGGCAGCAACCGCGAGATCCTGCACAAGTTCTCGGTGGACCTTCCCAAGAAGCACGGACGTGGTGGTCAATCTGCGCTGCGTTTCGCTCGTCTGCGTCTCGAGAAACGCCACAATTACGTGCGTAAAGTGGCCGAAACAGCCACGCAGATGTTCATCACGAACGACCAGCCCAACATCTCGAATTTAGTGTTGGCTGGTTCGGCCGATTTTAAGAACGAACTTAACGGCTCCGACCTGTTCGACAAGCGTCTGGCGGCTATTGTGGTCAAGGTCGTGGATGTGTCCTACGGTGGCGAGAACGGCTTCAACCAGGCTATTGAACTGGCTGCCGAGACCCTCGCGAACGTTAAATTCGTGCAGGAGAAGAAGCTGATTGTGAGCTACATGGAGGAGATCGCCCAAGATTCGGGTAAGTACTGCTTCGGTGTGAGCGACACGATGAAAGCGCTAGACTTGGGAGCTGTGGAGACGCTCATCTTGTGGGAAGATCTGCCGCATCACCGCTATGTGCTGCGTAACGATACGACAGGCATAGAGTCGGTCAAGATTTTGTCGCCGTCGGAGGAGAGCGTGGACTCGAACTTTGTGGACTCTGAGACCGGAGCTAATCTCGAGACGGTGGAGCGTGTGCCGCTGGTGGAATGGTTCGCCAACAACTACAAGCAGTTCGGTACGACGCTGGAGTTCGTGACGGCGCGTTCGCAGGAAGGTTCGCAGTTCTGCCAGGGCTTTGGTGGCATTGGCGGCATTCTCCGATGGAAGGTGGACTTCATGGAGATGGACTACGACGAGTTCGATGACGACGACTCGGACTTTGACGAAGACGCGTTCATGTAGAAATAATTATTGCGTGACGCTTTTTTGCGCTTAGTTTTTTTTTAGGAAAGCAAAAGCGTCACGCACCGTGGCGCGGCGGAAGGAACTTGCGCAAAATTTGACAAAGGACTGCATTTGACACACGCAGACGTTCATAGCCGCTATAGATTTTTCGAGAGGAGGCAATGGAACGAGCTGTAAATACCCAAAGGCAAGGAATATACAATATTCCATGCGATTGCTTATGTTTTAAAGTTTTTTTATTAACTTTTTGGTGACGAAGAGACGTGGTTGCTATGGGTGAGGTTGATGCGACTGTGGTCGAGCGTATGGAAGGCAATGTGGATGAGGTGCAAGAGAAGCGAGAACAAGAGGCAGCGGCGTGTTTGCAGCGGATGTTTCGTTGTCGTACGGCGAGATTGAGACTGCGTGAAATGTTGGCATCCGTTTTTGAGAAGTTTTACGACGCCGACTCGGGACTGCATTATTATTTGGATAAACGTACGGGCGAGACAACGTGGGAGAAACCTCGTGCACTTCGCAACGATGATATCGACTTGACAGCGGTATATGATGGGAAAGAGGAAGACACGTCCGAAGCTGAGCCTACAGAAGAAGAAAGTGGTCTACAAGTGGTTGATCTGGACAATGACAATAAAAATGAAGAAAATGAAGAGAAATATCTAGGTTATTCGACACAAGATGTGGCGCTTGCTCGGGAACAATTTGCACACTACGACGCGGATTCTAGTGGATCTATCAATGCTAATGAGCTCCACAAACTCTTCACTAACCTCGGTGAACAACTCACGTTAAACAACGTTCGTGAACTTATTAAAGCAGTTGATAAGGACGGCAACGGAGAGGTGGATTTCGATGAATTTCTCCACTTGTTACGTAAGCAACAAGACAAGAATCGGTACTCAGCATCATTGACACTCGCGTTGCTCTTTGGACCCAAGGAACTGACTAAACTCAAGCAACAATTCATGATTCTCGACTTGGACGGAAGCGGATCCATCGAC